GGTTGAGCAAACTTATCCACATATATTTTGGACACCATGTGTTGTTCATTGTTTGAACCTTGCCCTAAAAAGTATGTGCCAACCTAACGAAAAATCAACTCAATTTATAAATTGCAAATGGATTTTAGATTTGATTGGTGAAGTTAGTAGCTTGAAAAATTTTGTGTTGAATCATGATATGGCTCATGCTCTTTTTCAAAAGCATTCGGAGTTGTCTTTGTTGAAAGTTGTCGAAACACGATTTGCATCTCATGTTGTCATGACTAGTCGTGTTCATAAAGTAAAAGCATCTTTGGAAAGAATGGTAATGGATGATGATTGGAGAAACTATAAGGGAGACAAAGTGATTGAAGCTAAAACGCGTGAGATTAAATCTCTTGTAATGAATGACGAATGGTGGGATAAGATTGAGTACTTTTTAAAGTTTACCGAACCAATTGTGTCTATGCTTAGAAGTGCCGATCTTGATGCTCCAAAGTTGCATCTTGTTTATGATATGTGGGATACAATGATCGAAAAGATGAAAGCAATTATCTTTGAACAAGAGGGAAAGGATCTTATGTCGGGCAATCGGACTTTTTTGATACAATTCAAGACATTCTTGTTGCTAGGTGGAATAAGAGTAACACCCCTTTACATTCTATGGCACATTCTTTGGTACCAAAATACTACCATGAATCATGGCTTAGAGGGGAAGGCAATGGGGTTCGAAGGCTTGCTCCAAATGAGGATAGAGAGATTTCCTTAAATACAGTTAAATGCTTTCAAAGATACTTTAAAGATTCAAATGATCTAAAACAAGCATCTTTGGAGTATGGAGCATTCGCAAGTGGGAGTGGTTTCTTTAGTGAGCCTCATGTGGTTGAGGCTATGATGTATGAGGAGCCTCTATCTTGGTGGGCTAACCATGGTGTAAACGCTCCACTTTTGCAAAGCTTGGTGTACAAATTGCTTTCACAACCGGCTTTTTCTTCTTGTTGCGAAAGGAATTGGAGCACCTATTCATTGATCCATAGTATCAAAAGAAACAAGTTAGAGACTTCAAGAGCCAAAGATCTAGTTTTTGTGCACTACAATCTTCGCTTGCTTTCTCGTCAAAAAGAAAAATATACAAGTGGCCCAAGCAAGTATTGGGATGTGGGTATGTCTATAATCTATGTTTTCTTGAATTTATATTTCCTTTAGTATTTTTTTTATTTTTTAAATCATTTTTATTTTAATTTTGCTTTAGGCGGAGATCGTTTTGATGTTGATGAAGCCACCAATGATCTACTTGACTTATCAATAGATGAACCTCAACTAGAAGGAGTCATATTTGAAGAAGAGATTGAAGATGTGCAAGAAGTTGGTCTTGAAAATATTGAGGAAGAATGCTAATGTTATTGTTCAATTGTTAAAACTTAGTAGTTATCCTCTCCTACTTTTTGTTAGTTTATACTTTATATAGTTCAATGTTAATGTAACTTTATATGGGAAATGCTCGAATGGTGATTGTAATTGTAATTTATTTTTGCCTTTTTGGTGTTCATGCTTATTTTGATTGACTTAATAAGAATGGCTAACTCTTCATAATTTGTGACTTGTGAGGAAAATGCTAATTGCTAAATGATATTTGCATATTTTATTCTCTATGTTCATGTAGGCCATGTTCTTCTACAAAAGCAGTGAAAGACTAAAAGCCTAAAACGTATGTTTTCTATTTTTCTTTATCTTTATATATCTAACTCTTTTACTTATGTAATTATATGATATCTATTATGTTTTAATATACTTTGTGTAACTTGTAGGAGAATATGAGAATGGAAGAAAATCAAGAAATCGTGCCTACAACTTGAGAATAAAAAAGAAATCAACACTTTACAAGTTATAGGTACGTATTCCATAAAATCATAATTTAGAGATATTTTTATTTTTATTTTTAAATTATTTTTAGCCGGATCCCCGCATCCGTGTCGGTTTTAGGATCCGTATCCCCGAATCTTAAAATTTCCATCTCAAAGGATCCGACCTCTAGATCCGCACCCGTGTCGGACACCCGCACCCGTGTCAGAGCAACTTAGGTGCTTCAAGATATTCAATAGCCCATTGTTTGCTAAGATTCAGCAAATAAGCCCATTCCATCTCAACTCAGAGATCTCAAATATTGCTACAGAAATGTTTTACCCTCCAATCATACAGCACATAACAGCCCCTCAGTAGAACTTTCAAGTACAGTGGGACACCATTGTAAGTATGTAGTGCACCTACAAGGCCATCATAATTGGAAAAACACAAACGCCTAAAAGTAAAATATGGCAATAAAGAGCACACCCAAAGCAAAACGGGAAAGAAAGAGGATGAAATGGACTCAACAGGATATCAAATAATAGCTAATGATATGTGGAAAATTCCAATGGATTACCGATTGGATATACGCAAAGAGTTTGGAGCTAAGTCCAAAAACTATAATTTCAACAAATTACCTGATGGTTGACTATGTTTGCAGATAACCGTTGAATCTCACGTTCTTCATGGTCAGCAAAAAGCTTTGCCTTTATAGCTGCAGCTGCAAGACCAACTTTAGCAGCAGCTCTTACTCTTTCAGTGGATACTGCAGCACCTCCAGAATCGTGTTGACCCCATGGACCTTGTCCTCCCGGCTTTTCATCTGAGAAGTTTATATTAGAGAATTATTGGAAGGATGACTTAAGAATAGTACTAGTTCAATTTATAGCCACCTTTTAGCTGATAAGAATTTCCAACATCTCCACGAGGACTTCCATCCTTTCCATGAATTCTTCCTACACTGATCCTGCATGTATGGAAGCAAGTACATATCTTTAGATCAGTATGCCCGTTAGAAATGTTTCATCCATCACCTTCCATAAGAAACTTAATACTTCTGGTATTACCAGCTGCTGAATGCAACAAAATGCATGAAGTCAAACATCTCTAATTTTTTTCTAATAATATTTGCACTAGAAAAAGCTGCTTACCCTATGTTAAACCTAAATCTATATTTTGTTGTTGGCTATAGTGGAGTCTGCCTTTGCTGTCTATTTGAGAAAGTGAAAAGCCAAAATGGATCTCTATAGATGGACCAGCAAGATTTTTAGACTTAGATGCTCCCAAAGCACAGGGTTGTGCAAACAACATAGATGACTAAAAGGGAAAGAACAATTTAAAAAGGTGAAATACGAGATTTTGGTGAAGCACAAATTACCAAATGCAGAAGGTAGAATGAGGAGAAACACTTAGGCAGTTGGAAAGAAAGAAGTAAAGCATTGTGGGGATGTTCCTAATGGGTCTCTGACTTCAGGCATCAGCCAGATGGGGATGGCAGGTGTCCAGTTTGCTGGCCAAAGACGTGGATGGAGAGTCATGCATTTAAGTTCCAGTTTAACATATACAGCCAAAAATAGACTGTTCCACGTGTTTTGCTGTCTCTAAGAAGTTTACGCTGTAGTACATACTTATATATTTTGGTTTCTCTCCAGGTCACGACTCAGATACTTATAAAATGCAATATTTTAAATTATTTTGAGCAAGAAAAGAACCAAATAAAGTAAACTGCAGAAATACCACAAAAGAATTCATTAATAACTATTGAGACAATGCTTGAGGCATACAAATGGGGTCAATAATGGTAACAAAAGCAACTAAAATAGAGAAAACTTTTCGAAATTCTGCATCACAGAAAATGCCCAAAATTCATATCAACAATCACAAGTAACGTGCTAAATAAACTAGCATACAGAAAAGAATATGAATACAGAGTTGATGAAGAAATAACAGTAGAAATACACACCCGTTATCAGCTGTAGATCCATCTATCTGAGTCATGTTCCGTGATGTTAAAGTATCATCCTTAGATAATGCTGCCAAAGAAGTATGGGCACATGCTGCAGCAACTCTCGGTCCCACAGCAGATGCCAAAAAAGCAACCTACAGACAGTAGAGAGAGCTAAATTTTTTCTTCTCCTTATTTCTACCTTATATAAGAAGTCATATGCACTCTCAACTGTATATCATAAACGGTATGGCATAGTCAAAGTAAATGTACTCCAGACAGCTGCTTAATAAAGCACATTTAGCCAAAATTTCTAATATGTAACAAGCTAGAGGCGAGATTAGGGAGAGGAGAGTAAGCATAAAAGCAAAAATGTAGAGATTAGGCAGCCCAGCAACTGGATAAATACTTTTCTAGTTTCTTTTGGTTCTTACAATATCCAGATTGGGTTATAGGCTATAGCCTCCCCTTGGTTCTGACAGGGTTTGTGTCATCTTTTTTCCTCTTTTTGGTCACACTGATAATAGGCAATTTCCACTCCATCAACTAGTGGAGAAGGACTCAGATAGGGACGTACACTTTAAGAGAATCAAGACACTAACCTCCTCAAACTGGACAAAATCTCATATTCTAATAGAACTTGAACCTAAGAGCAGGTAGATCCAGGCCCAGGGCCTCAATCTTGACAGTTCTGCTAAGGTCTTCCCTTGTTTAATTAATTAATTCTACAAAGCCATGTTGCATACGCAGCATGGAGCAGAAGTGAAAAGGTATTGTGTAATGATTTGGGATCTGATAAATCATTCCAGCATTTTAAAACGAAATGGTAAATAGATTGCAGTAGAGACTAGAGAGAAAATCAAATATGAATTTTGATTTTAAAAATACAAAATAAAGGCTGGAATAGACCAGAAGACCATACTAATTACTAACTGGATCTGATCTGCAGATAATATCATTAATTTCTGGAAAGAAAAGGAATATCACTAGGCAAGTTATTTTATCAAATTCTGAATCTTCTTTCTTAGAAGCATCATTATGAATTTCTACGTGTTTCACTGCTTTAACATTTTTACCATCATGAAAGATCTTTTCAAGAAACCATCTCACATGGAAGATTTCCATAATGTTTCTCATATATTGTTTTTTTTTTTTTACTGTTAATCTTTCTCATATATAGTTCGTCTGCTAACTCCCACTTTGACGACCATCTAACCATAAGGGGACAATGGAATCCTTCTGCAAGTTACAGAAAAAAGGATGGCACAGTTCTCTACCAACTTACCTCAATGAAATAACTGATGCGAAAAGGCATGCGTTGAAATGGTACTAAGAGCCCCTTTTTTTTAACAGATTAAAAGTAACTAATTAACTAGTAAGTATGAAAAGTACTTTTAAATGTTGAAGCTAATATTATAAATAACTTCAGGATTCTTTGCATTTGGATAGAAGTACCAAAACTGATAATAAGCAGTTGGTTTTTTCGGTAAAAAGCGCTAATAAGCACTTTGTCTTTGGTAAAAAGAAAGAAATGTTCTTAAAGCTATTTACAAAAAAAATAAAATAAAAATATCTCTCATGGAAAAGGACAAATGGCGAAAATGAATTGGAGAGGGAGTAAGGGGGTTTTGTTTTCGGAAGGGTATTTCAGGGATTACAAAAACAATAGAGATAAAACAGCAAAATATTTTGTAAAAACAAAAGCGCTTATAAGCTGAAAGCTATAAGATGGGGGTCACCCACCTATCACTTAATCATAAGTACTTGGCTTATAGGCACTTTTGGCGTTTACCAAACAAGTAAAAAAGTCAAAAAGCGCTTACAAGCTCGTTTAACCTTTTAATAAGCTTACCCAAACACCCTCTAAAGCTCTCATGGATATGCATTGTCCTCCACAATTTCACACAGAGAGATTCGAAAGGAGGATAATAGAAGAGAAACAAAAGATAAAGAACCATTGACATATTCGCGTTCTTAACAGAAGGCATGCCTTTCCCCACCCACAAAAAGAAGGCAGCATTCCTCAAGAATCAACAGATAACGTTGCAGAAACTAGAAACTAAAGTCTCTTCATATGAAAAAGAGGAATACACATTTCATAACAGCATGTTCACAACAACAAAGTCTTACCAGGGACATTACTGGATTTCCACAGTTTTCAAAAGGAAATTTGCTATCAGAATCAAGGTTTTCAGTGCTTGGTCCTGCATCATAAACGGATAAACGACGAGAATATTAGAGCTTCAGTGTTGTGATCATACGAAAAAGGAAATGATAAAAGTCCACTGTCTCACCTGCAAGATTCCCGTTCAAATTTGAATAAGATTTGTTACGATCTTCACCCGCAAAAGAACTTGAGGGACCAGATGCACCTGGAAGTTCAATATTTTCCAATGGGGCACCATCCACAGGCAGGCGGACAAAATGAAGGATGCACTGTGCCTTTGACTTGGTGCCAACATGTTCTGCAATTTGATTCCAGTTTTCATTGTAGAGTTGCATTCCCTCGAGAAGCAATAGCGTTTCCTGGTCAGTCCAAGTATCTCCATCTAGATCTCCATAATCTTTCATAGAGCTTATTTTGACAAAATCCAAGCTAGAGTGACCAGTGACAAATCCACCCTCGTGGAAGCAATCCAAACACAATAGAATATCAATCTGTCAAAGAAAATGCAAGTCAGCTTTGAATGCATCCACTCAAAAATATTCATCCAAAGTCATTTAATTGCATGCCTATGTGCCAAATGAAAGGCAAACTTTTTTAGTTGCACATAATATCTGCTCCAAATAATGTTGCAGAGAAAAAAATTCATAATCTCAGATATCCTTTTTTGCTAGCAAGAAAGGTTCTTAGACTATTGCTTTTCCCTTCTTTTTGTTAACCTTCGGCAACCTCTTTTCTGAAACACTGGTAACCCCTACAGCATTCTGAGTTACCTGTTCAATGATGACAATCTAGAAAGGATGCTGAATTTCAACACAGTATCCACCAATTAATATTTGGCCGACTGCTATACAAAGAAATAGATTAAGCATAAGCACATGTATAGCTGCCATGCTGCTTTTTATATGAAACTAAAATCAAACAGTCCAAGTTCATATCAACCGGAGCAGGTTCATATTGGTTAGCCTAATTCATCGATGGGAAGCTAAATACAGGGTAAGTTTTGCTTTTGTCTGGAAATCAAGTAAAGGCATCAAAGAACTTCGAATTGGAAATTTACCACACTCTCTCTCCCCACTGTTTGACCTCGGTTTAACTTCGGGAGGCACGGAGAGGAGAAAAATTAAGATCAGTGTACTCTAATATGCTGCAATTTCCCACATTAGGAAGCAAAGTATTTATTAACCAAATACTTAAGTTATATGAAGTAGAAGGATGATCCAAGAGCTATGGATATTTAGAGGAGAATAAGTGTCTTCGAAACGGCAAAAACATTTGAGGGAAAAAACAGCTATAGTGGTAACAACATTTAAGAAAATAACAAGTACAAGCAAAGACAACAGTATGTGTGATATACCTCTTTCTGTGACTGATAGTACGACAGTGAAACAGGCCGAGAACAACAATTGCATCGTAGTTCAGACAACATTTCTCGGATTGAGTTGTCAAAGTCGGAGTCATCATCAAAATCACGCACAAGTTCAGGATAAACGTCTCTCGCCTTGAGACAACATTTAGGCTTGTCAAACTGGACTAAGCTGTCAATAGACTTCAAACCAGCCACTGGAACACAGAGATCACTGTTTGAGTCCTCATACAATGTGACATCTTTTAGGGCCTCCGCTTTAGGAGGAACAGCACAGTAGTTGATGATCCCCCAATGATCAAGAAACCTTGCAATTCGAGTTACATCATCAGCACTAACACCAGCTACAATCCCATGGCAATCAGCAACTGACAAGTGCTTTTCAGGCAACTCCATATACTTTGCAACTATACAATTTCTGCATTCCATGTATTTTTCTGGCGTATGTTCAGCTGACTTTCCAGAGAAAAAATGTGGCACCACTTGTCTTTCCAATCTGTGCACTGTATTAGGTGAAAACCAATCTGCTTGCAGAAGAAGGAATACAAAGGTTCAAATTAGACAGAGATCTGAGAGCAAAAACAACAATACATACAGAAGATTAAAGTACACAGATCTCAACAAGTAAGAAAAAACAAAAATACATAGAAGACATAACAGTACAAAGATCTCAAGCACTAACTGACCTACAAATGGAGACCGTGAACAACACAGACAATGACATTGATTTCAAGAACAAATCGATAGGTGGTCTAAAAGGTACAGCAATGGAGCATTAAGCTGCTAATCTGGTCTCAAAAGTGAAAGAGAATATAATCCAGATACAAATCCAAGAATGCTACTGTATACCAGAAATATACTGCAGGTATGCTTGTATCCAGAAACACTCTGTATTGTGCTCCAGTCAAATGCACCATAAATGCCAAACATAGCATTTCCTGGTAATTTTCTTACATCAAAGAAATCCCATGTGGGCTTCTGCCTCAATCCGATTGGTGCATAGGTTAGACTCCGAGGAGTATAGGCCCCGACCCCTAGCTCGCCCCAACTTAAAAACCAGGCTTTGTCTGAGGCAGAGTTCAAACCCCGTGACGTGTGCCTTACCCACACATCATCCTGACCACTGAACCAAAGCCCTGAAGACAATTTCCAGGTGATTTCCATGAGATTTCAAGAATTTGAATTCCCAAATCATGATTTCCGTTGTACCTCAGTGTTGTCAAAGGCACGCTTAAGCCCTAAAGCGAGGCGCAAAACATGTTGAGCGCTTTGGGTTGCTTAGCGGGTGCTTCAGTGTCGTCATCAAGGCTCTAAGACATACTTTTCCTTGCCAATGAGCATAATCCTGAAGATGCGACACTGAACAATTGATATTTCACTTTATTGTAAATTTTTTTAATTTTTTTTTATTTCTTTGTCCATATATTTGTTGTTCATACTTATAATTATTAGTCTTGGACTACACATACATATTTGTATTTTTTTCACCATTTGTGCCTTTCTTCATTAAAGTCCATGCTTTATTTCCGCTTTGCGCTTAAAGCTCCAATGGACCTTAGAGCTCTTCTGGCACTTTTCGCCTTTGATAACACTGGTGTACCTAACTAAGGGACAACCTTCTTATTCTCTGACTGATTCGCCTTGCAGTGTAGACAAATTTGTCAAAGACTGCTGAAATTTAAAAAAAAAAAAAAAAAAAAAAAAAAAAAAAAAAAAAATTCTCAAGGCAAACTATTTCTATAGCATACTGGTACCTGCCACTCCCTTCATGGAAAAAAATCTAGGCAATTCAAGATGGCTATTATTTTAACACTGTAAGAACGCATAATATTAATTTGGTAAAGCCCATGCAAAATTTTGACAATGGTAGAAAATGGCACATGCCAAGCATAGGTTTTAAGTAAATAAATTAACTCTTGTACTCCACAGTCCACACATGCAAATCTTGTCTTTAGTTCAGTAAATTTCCTCTAGCATCTATTTGACAAGTATGCACAAACATTATACTTGGACATTAAAGTACAGAGGAGGATCCAAGTTCTTGTTTTTTTCCGACTCTCATGGTAAGATTGGAAGGTTAATGAAACCATAGTGTACTAAATATCCCAAATCTTGCAAGGAGAAAGCCAAGCTATAAATGATATTTAGTTGGACGGAAGACAAACTTTTCCACCATGTAGTACCTGATAAATTTGTATTCCTCTATTTTGCTTAGCTAATAACGGAAACAAACTTATATTCTTCTTGTGAGATATCACATACATTGACCTATCAAAATATGATATAAGATCCACTCCTCCTGGTGAAGAACCTTACCAAAGTGACGTGGTTTGGTGGTTTTATTCGTTTACAATCTTCAAACAATAAGGGCAGCAATACTCAAAAGAAAGTGAAAGGGAATTCATATAATCACAACAAGTCTCTATATCAAGCGTCTTTCAGGGTCCTAGTGCCAGCACACAGTGTGATTTGACAGGTGAGCATTATACTACGGTAATAAAATGCTCCATCTCCTAAAGTTTAGCAAATTAGGAAGTTATTAAAATCCAATTGTCACAATTGTCCATGGGGAAATGCAACTCACTTTTTTCCAAAATTAGTTAAGTCCTGACAGAATTAACTCTAACTTATAGTCTATCCTTTCTTGTTCAAAATCAGTATTCACCAGCAAAAAAGTATTTTGGTACTTAAAAGTGCACGTAAAGGTTCCAGCTAGTAATGAAATGATATAAAGAAAAATATCTTCACAAGCACATTGTATGATGATTACCTGCGTGCATTGGCACAACATGAATTCGACTTGCACTGCCATAATGCTTAACCACACCACGACCCTGCAATATCTGCGGAGGACTGATCACATACGAACCACTCCCACTGCCTTCTCCTCTTTCCTCAGTCAACAAGGCAGGAGTATCTGCAGGCACAGCTGAAAGCGCCTGAAGCTGCCCATACGACATATTCTCCAACACCACCCCATTCTGCCTACTCTCTCCACACTGCCCAGCCTTCTCAGTCGCTACAATATTCAGGACGGACGAATGAGGCCGCGTAACAGTACGTCTCACTACTAAAGGGAACTCACTAATTCGGTTCCCAGCTTCTGATACCAATTCAACTGAGTAATTACTCCGATCCACTGAATTGCTAGGGTTTCGGTGGTCGTCATCTTCAATTTCCTGCTGGTCAATGTCTTCCTCGTCATCTTCTTCTTCAAACACGTCATCATCTTGTTGGGCCTTGGCCTTCCTTGAAATTAAAGGCTCCCGCTTCCGCTTCCTCCATCTATTCCTCGTCTCTAAAAAATTAACAACTAATTACTAGTCAATTTGTAACACTCGGATCCGTTAAATAACTAATTATAGTACATAAATCAACCATTTTCAAATCAAATTTATAAAATGCTTTAAAATAAAAACTAAAATTAGAGAAATTTAAAAGAAATGGGGGTTTATGTGAGCACCTGAGGAGGAAGCAGGCATTGCTGAGAAATTGGGGGGTTTGGGTCCTGAGAAATTGGGGTTTAAAGGGAGAGAATTGTGGGGTCTGAGATTGGTTGTTGTTTTTGGAGAGAGAAAATTGGGGGAAAAGGGATTCTTCTCTCTGCTGCCTTCGGATGATAATTTTGTGAGCTCTTTTTGGAATTTCGCAGCTGGGTTTCCACAAAAATTAGGCAATATCTTTGCTGTGTGAATTCACGCGCTTCATTCAGAGACTGAAGGAAAAAGATGTACGCGCCGAGAGTAACGTAAAGGTCATTGTTTTTCCTTTTTTTTTTTTTTTCCTTTTTCGATGATTGATAACCAAATAGACACCCGTATTTGTATGTAATTCTGTTTCGACCCTCAGAAAAGAGACAAACGAGTATATTTTCTCCCTCGTGATTTTTCATGTGTCATCTAAATATAAAATTTTGTTATAAAATAAAGATAAATATAATAATATTCAACAAGCAATAAAAACAAGATATAGAAGGGAGAATGATTTTGTTATTTCTCTTCTTGGTGTGTTTTTCATAGGGTCAAAAGTTCCTTATTTATAAAGGTACAGATACATTCAAAGGTTATAAGTTAATATACTTCTTAATTGAGTACATGAATATAAAATATGTTAAATGGACAGGCAATTGCATTCATCTCAATTAGATGCATTCGTCTCATTTATAACACTCATTCTTGGATGTCCATTTAAAAGGTAATGCGCCTCGTTACAACATTACTAGAAAAAATCTTGTGAGAAAAAGCCTAATGAAGTAAAAAAGAGTTCACACATCTTGTAATACACATTGAGTGTTGCCTCATTAAAAGCCTTACAGAAAAACTCAATTGGGACAAAACCTTGGTTAAGGGAAAAAAAGTATAGCGCGTATTATACTTTCCGTGATGAAAACTTTGTTTGATATCTCGAAGACGATGCATTTCAATTTTATGTCTCGGCTTCTCAAATGCTAATATTGGCAATGCCTTAGTGAATAAATCTGTCAGATTATCACTTGGAACGAATTTGTTGAACATCTATCTAACCATTTTGTTGAAGATCATGCGTAAAAATAAACTTTGGTGAAATGTGTTTTGTATTGTCTCCTTTGATATATCCTCCTTTTAGTTGAGCTATGCAAGCAGCATTATCTTCATACAATATTATTAGAATCTTCGTCTTTAAAGAAAGACCACACCATTGTTGAATGTGTTGAGTCACTGATCTCAACCATACACATTCTCGACTAGCTTCATGAATAGATATTATATCTGCATGATTGGAAGATGTAGCAGCTAAAGTTTGTTTTGTTGAATGTCATGATATAGTTGTACCTCTGCAAGTAAATAAATAGCATGTTTGAGATCAGAACTTATGTGGATCAGATAAACAACCTGCATCTGCATAACCAATTATTTGTTAACAATAAAATAATCCCATATCAATAGTCCCTTAGAGGTATATAAAAATATGCTTAACACCATTCCAGTATCTTGTTGTAGGAAAAAACTAAATCTTGCTAATAAACTTAATGCAAAAGTTATATCTGGTCGAGTATTATTTGCAAGATATATTAAGATATGGAGTTTCATCACCAAAAAGCTCTTCATCATTTTCATGAGGCCGGAATGGATCTTTATTTATATCAAGTGATCTCACAAACATCGGGGTACTCAATGGATATGATTTATCCATATAAAAACACTTTAAGATTTTTTCGGTATAAGTTTATTAATGGACAAAAATTTCATCTTTCATATGCTTAATTTGTAGACCAAGACAAAATTTTGTCTTTCCAAGAATTTTTATTTCAAACTATTTCTTCAAACAGTCTACTGCTTTTGGAAGTTCTTCAGAAGTTTCAATGATATTTAGATCATCAACATACACAGCTATTATAATAAATTCAAAATCATACTTTTTATAAAGACACAAGTACAAACTGAATCATTCGTATATCCTGCTTTCAACAAGTACTCACTCAAGTGATTATACCACATTTGCCCTGATTGTTTCAATCCATATAAGGATTTTTGAAGTTTTATTGAACACATTTTTCGTAAACCTTTATAAGCTTCATGCACTTTAAACCCTTCAGGAATTTTCATATAAATTTTATTGTCTAATGTGCTATACAAATAGGTAGTGACAACATCCATCAGAAGTATATCAAATTTTTCATGGACTGCCAGATTTGTAAGATACCTGAAGGTGATTGCATTTGCCACAGGAAAATATGTCTCCATATAATCACTGTTAGACCTTTGTGAAAATCCTTGTGCCACAAGTTGTGCTTTATATCTAACGACTTTATTTTTATCATTTCGTTTTCGCGCAAAAAACCATTTGTATCCCACTGTTTTATTCATTCATATGTTCAAACTATATCTCCGAATACTTCAGTTTTTTCAAGTGAAGTTAATTCTGCATGGGTATCATTTTTTGCATTTTGGCCAATCATTTCTCTGTACACATTGATCGATAGATCTTGGTTCAAGTTCCTCATCTTGTTTTATTATTCCAACATCAACATTATAAGCAAAAACGTTGTCGACAATAGTATTATTTCGGTTTCACCTTTTTCCCGTAAAGACAACAAATATTGATATCTCTTCATTCTTATTATTTTCAGGTACCTGGACACCCCTTAATGTCGTATCATTTGTTATGTCACATGACTCTCTTTTAGCAATTGCCTCCATATTATGATCCCCTAGATCATTTGCTCATTTTCTCTTTCGGTGATTTTAATATTTCGAAACGATTGGTCTACCACATTTTAAGCGTGGCTTAGGCTCATTTGCATTCATAGATTGTCCAGTAGGGACATCAGTTCAAATATGAGCATTATCAGCTGAAATATATGACTTGGTCACCAGGTCAATGAATGCATCTGGCAGTTGATTTGCAATACTTTGCAAATAAATTATCTTATGAACCTCGTGTTCATATTGATTTGTTTGAGTATCTAATGACATAGTGATAATACATTCCAATCTATATCTTCTTCCAATTGCTTATTTTCTCCCCTTAATGTTGGGTATACTGATTCATCAAAATACAATCAGCAAATCTTGCCGTAAATAAATCTCCAGTCATAGGTTCCAAATATTTTATAATAGAAAGAGATTCATACCCAACATATATTCTCAATCTTCTTTGGGGATCCATCTTACTGCATTGTGGTGGAGCAATTAGAACATATATCGCACCTTCAAATATTCTAAGATGGGAAATATTTGGCTCCTGGCCAAAAGTTAATTGTAATGGGGAAACTTTATGATAACCCGTGAGCCTTATTCGTACAAGAGTTGTTGCATGTAAAATAGCATGACCCCATGCGAAATGGAAGGTTTTATTCTCATAAGCATTGGTCTAATAATTAATTAGATGTATTTGATCGATAATTCTGCTAGACCATTTTAAGTATGAACATGAGCAACTTGATGCTCAATTGTTATCCCAGTTGATATATAATAATCATTAAAAGTTTGGGACGTAAATTCACTAGCATTATCAAGGCGAAGTGTCTTAATTGCATAATGCGAAAATTGTGCTCTTAATCTTATTAATTGAGCCAGTAACCTCGCAAAGGCCAAATTGCGGGTTGATAACAAGCACATATGTGACCATCTTGTAGATGCATCTATCAAAATCATATAATATCTGAATGATCTACATGGAGGGTGTATGGCCCACATATGTCACCTTGTATATGTTCCAAAAATACAGGAGATTCAACTCCAATTTCTGATGGTCTGATAATTAGTTTGCATTTAGAACATGCAACATAAGAGAATTCTTTAATTTGAAAAATCTTCTAGTTCTTCAATGAATGACCATGTGAATTCTCAATTATTTTGCGTATCATATTATAACCGGGATGGCCCAACCGGTCATGTTAAATAATAAAATCATTAGTAAACCCTTTGTTTACTATAGTATGTGATTCAACTACACTAATACTAGTGTACTATAATCCATAGGAAAATGCGTGAAGCTTTTCAAACACATACTTTTTTTCGCTTTTATTGTAGTAATATAAAGGTATTCAACCTTTCCTTCATTGGCGGTCTCAATATGATAGTCATTTTGGCGAATATTTTTGAAATTCAACAAGTTTATTTGAGACCTACTACAATATAATGCACTATTAATAGCCAATATAGTTCCTCCTTGTAGTAATATAGTCGTTCTTTCAGAACCCTTAATTAATTTTGTACTACCAGATATTGTTATGATATTGGCTTCTTTACATATCTCTTATCTTTTAATATGATGTGCGTCGTAACACTATCAAGAATGCATATTTCTTCTTTATTATTCAAATGACCAACTTAAGACTGTGAAGTTTTCATATTCTTCATAAATGGGAAAAAATAATTCATAAGTAATATTAAAAAATTTAAGAACAAAAGAAACTATATTTAGGGAAGTAAATACTAACAACATAAAAAGTTTTATTCAAAATATGAATTTTATAAAATAAAAATAACAATTATTTGTATAACTTTTTCAAGTAATAAGTCTTCAGTTATGATGCTCAACTCCATCTTCTAAATGAGTAATATCTGCAAGGCCTTTAAAAATATCATCTTTATAAACAAAGTTTGCTTCAATTTTATCATGATTATTCATACGACCCGCCTCAATATTATTCTGAAAGGCTAAGTGAGTCTCAACTTTATTTTGTTTCTCTTTTATAAAGGCTTGATAAAATTTGACAAATATTCAGGTGTGCGATAAATTCATGCCCAATGATTTTTCATACCACATCGGTGGCAAATATTACTTTTGCCTTTTGAAGGATTATTCTAAGAACCCTTATTGTTCTCTTGTTAATAACGGCCACCATCATGGCGATTATTATTTCGTCCTTGGCCACGCCCACGTATATTTATAAGGCCACGATAATTATTGTGTCTTCTTTCAGACTTTTGATCTATCGCCATCACATTCGTTTCGGGGAATGGAGCTGATCCAGTGGGGCGGGCTTCATGAGTTTTCATTAATAGGATATTATTTTTGCCTTAGCCATCATTATGCCATCGATATCATACATTGGGATTCAAACCCAATGTCTTATCATCATGGTATACCAGGACTTGAACCTAGTGTCATACCCTCGTGGAGTGCTAGGACTTGAACCCACCATCTTACCCTCATATAATATAT